ATCCACAACCATTTTTATAGCCGATTCATTTCCTGCTTCAAAGATCCAGCAGCGGTCGGGTGATAATNTTTCCAGTCCGTCAGCACAGTGGCGTGTTAACACAAAAAAAAAAACCTCAGGGTCGTCTGGGAGAAAAGCTCAACCTGACATCATCCAGCTGCTCCGGCCAATCAAACACATGCAAGCACACATTCCTGGTATTCCTGTTTCTCCACTGGGGTCCTTTCCACAGTGAATATCATAAACCTCAGTGCAGTGTTTTGATACCTGAGACGTCTTTAACTGTGCCTCACCTGTACCTCAACCCCACCCCCCACCCCCCCCCCCCCCCCCCCCCCACACGGGGCCGAGCGCTCGTCTCTCTAGAACCACAGTCCTGAAGACTGGACCGCTAGCTGGTCTGAATAAAGACACTTCGGCCACAGCGACTATTGTCATGACAACAACAACAATTTTTTATCAGCAGCGTGAGGATCTGTAAGTTTCAGACATCCGTCATGTACAGAGGCTTCAAGTGATGAAGCTGGAACCTCCTCATCTTCACCTCTGGTGGGGAGAAGAAAGATGGAAGATGCTGCATGTTTATACTGTCCCTGCTGACACCACTCTGTAGTAGAGTCAGGCACATCAGCCAGGTAAATACACCACCTGATGATATTAGATTTATTGACATCTGTGTAAATTAGAGTTGAAACAACTGCTTGATTAATCGATTGACAAAAATCATCCACAACCATTTTTATAGCCGATTCATTTCCTGCTTCAAAGATCCAGCAGCGGTCGGGTGATAATTTGTCGTCGTTCTGTCTTATTGTTTATCTTGTTGATGATTTTTGCCATGAACAAGCAGCTCTACTTCCAACAAAACCAGAACCAGAACCTCACACTGCGTTGGATTCCTTTCCTCAAACTCAAACTGGTCTCTCAGCTGACTGAGGGTCAGTCAAACTTCAGTCATTTCGGACTGTCATCACTTTCTGTGTCCAGTTTTACTTTGACGCGCTGCCACAAGGAAACTGACACAACTTCAAGTTAAAAGTCTCCCACTTTAAATGTGCAAGCCAGAGATCTGAGGCGTGGAGCTGGTCAGCATCAGAAGTCTTGCCTCCTGTCGTCTCCTCACTTCCTCCAGCTCGCTCTAATGGCGGCAGATACAGACCTAGCATCAATATTTTACAGCTCAGGTCCTTTTAACAAGCCGGGACCATAAAACTCATCTGCTGCTGCTTCCTGCTTCAACATCTTCACTGCTGCTGATTTCAAACCGGAGCTGAAGCTGCTCCACCACCACAGACAGGACTGTACGTACAGGGTGAAATGAAGCGGGACGTCGTGGAGGGATCGAGTCCTCCTCCTGGATGAAACCATGTTGAAACTGCAGGCAGGGCTCCGTCTGTCGACTCTGCCCAGTTTACACAGCAAACAAGAACAAACTGAACCATCGGGGTCGTTTCACTGTGATGGAGGAAGAGGCCGCAGAGACTCTCAGAGCCAAGACGTCCTAGTTTCACCACAAGCCCAAACATCACACTGACTTATCAATAAATACTACAGGTACCAACAGACAGGCTGATAATCCATAGTTACACTAAATATCTGACTGGTCACATCCTTCTGTTTTCTGTCTCTACAATAAACTGAACAACTTCTCCTCGCTCTGACCTCAGAGTAAAACAGCACTGCTCCCATTCACTCTGCTTATACAATCAATTAACAGCCAAGCCTCTGAATCAAACGCTCTGATTGGCTGTGACAACACCAACTGGAGCCTTTAGCGATGTAGAATTGAGTGACTCTAGACATCAGGAGCAAAGATGGCGGATGACAATCGATCAATTAACACAAAGACCGAGAGCAGCAATGCGCCACACAAACGGTAAAACTACTCCAAATATTTCCTAACTTTTGATGTCAGTGTAAAGATCGAAGTCAGTGACTCACACTGACGAGCAGTGGCTTGATAGAAAGCGCTGATTCTTTAGTTTCAGGAGAAAAAACGGCAGGTCTGTAGCTCAAACGGTGGCGGAGTAAAGACGCTCTTAAGACAACGTGATATTTGGAAGTTCTCTCGCACAGGTTTAAGAGTTTAAGACTTTTTAGTCCAAATAGTCCCAGAAACTAAACTGAGGAACACACAGGGACCTCAGAGTGTTTGTGTCTGTTTCCACCACGTCTGCAGCAGCAGGCAGATTAGGCAAATTAGACCAATAACGGATTAAAAAGTGTCTGTGTGGTTTCTAACAACAACAGAGTCCTCAGGGTTTTTCTTTGTGGAACGGATGTTGACAAAAAGGAGTCGTGCAGGAATGGAGAAGGAAATGCAGGATTCCTGTTTTTCTGCATTGTATGAAAACTTAAAGATGTTTTTCCATCTTTCTCTCACCTTAAAAACCTTGGTCAACAAACCGACAACGTTAGTCCGGCTCTCAATAATCTGATCTAACGTGAACACAACCTTAAGACAACACAACACCTGTGTCAAGTGACCGACTACACCAACGTTACAATGACGCTGGTCTTGATAGAGCTGCTTCAGGCGTGTTCTGGTCTGTAATGGACTCAGTCTTCACACAACCTTGACTGATTCTACATTGTTTGAAAGCTCCATGTCTCCTGATTCTATCTGTGCAAAGCATTTTAGGATCTATATCACTGCAACAGCTGTGACACAGGATTGGTTCAGACTTGTGGCTCCACACTAAAGATCCAACTGGAGGCCATAGATTCACTTTTTAATGAGGCGAGGGAAAAAAACAAAAACAAAAAAAACAAACGTACATTTCTACCATGTTTGTGCCTCTAACTTTGGTTCTGTGTCTCTTCTACTCGCTCTGATTATTTAGTTGTAAAGTTTAAGGAGTTTCCTTTCAGAGGAGACCAGCATCAGGGACCAGGATTGTGTGTCTGGTTACATTAAATTACATTTTCAAATGTTTTAATTTGTTAAACAGGCCAAAAGATTCAGTTTACGATACAAAAGAAAAGCAGAAAATCTGAGACAGAGATTTTATCATTTCAGTTATTTTTTTAAAGCAAAAAAAAAAAAAAAAAAAAAAACAATCTCTGGTTTCAGCTTCTCAAATGAGAGAATTTGTTGCTTCTCTTTGTAATAACTGACAGTGAACTGAATATCTTTGGGTCTGGGACAAAACAACTAAACTGTAAGAGAAGCTGTAAGTGGTATTTTCTAAACTAATGTAATGCCAGAAAGCTCATGTGCTTTTAAATAAACCTAACCTTTTCAACTTTCCTCCTAAAAGTGTAAAACTGTGATACTTGGTTCTGAGGTATCAATAAAGCATCATTACAGATCATATGATCAGTTTATTGGTCGCCCTCCGACAGTAAACGCTCACATACAGGAACACTGACACCTTCACTCGTTTGTTCTGTTCAAACTTCAGCGGCCGACTGTACGTTCGCCTCTTATCAGGAGCTCTGACAGAGTCATGCTGAAGGCATCCAGTGTCACACCACAACAAGTCAGAGCAGAGCAAACACGTACACACACACTGCGTACTGAGAGCCTGTCATTACAACCACACACACACACACACACACACACACACAGTCAACCTGCTGTAGGGTGTGTTATGACAAAGACATGAACTGTGCCACATTTCACACATTTCAGCACTTAACTCCGTCTCACATACACACCAGAAGCCTGAATGAACAAGTCCACACACTGAATTACACCCTGATAAAAGGTCTGATGTTGGGCTCCAAATAATGATTAATCTGCTGATTATTTTCTTGTTGAATCACATGGTTTCAGTAATAGACAATAATACATTTCAGAGAGTAATCTTTTTACACCACTAACATTTGTTTGGCAGTAGTAGTTATTAGTTGAACTTATAAGATTTGACATAAAAAAGGTGCTGTATAATTAAAATGATGCCTTGTCATAAATTAAACTACCAAACAGAATTTTCATATCATTTGATAATAGTGAGGATCACATTACTTTAATGATAATTAATGTCAATATTTTATTCATCATGTAGGTTCCTCTTTTAGTTCTTGTGGTTAGGAGAGCTTTTTTTGTTTATTTATTTTGATAATGTGGAGATAATGTAAAACAGGTTATCTAGTAAAATCATAATCAATATCTTTTTTCTTTTAAAAATATAAACTAGCTCTACCTCATTAACTGTGACAGCAAAATTATACACATTAATGTAGTGTTATTGGTCAGTGTTTACCATCTATTAATATAATATTTGACAGCACATCATTCATGAAACAGATACTTGTACTTATTATTTACCTGTAAATATTTGTGTACTTTTACCTAAGGATCTAAATACTTAGCCCACCACTGTCACTACTTATGATACTTTCAGCTAAATATATCACTTTATATTCTGATAGTAAAAACTAACTTCACTGAGGATATTCTGATTTAATTCAGTGTTTCTTTTCTAATCTAGAATACGTTACGTTTACTCTTGTACTGGAGTATTTTCACACCTAACTTTTTGTACTTTTACTTCAGTTTTAGAACCTGAGTACTTCTTCTAACTCTGCTAGCCACCAGCTAACTTAGCTAGCGTGACAAACCAAAATGGCTGCATGTGGATATTAGCTGACTGTCAGCTGGATTCACTTCTCCTTTACCAACATCTGACGTCCCAAATAAAAGTGGGGGGGCTACAAACCCATTAGAAAATCAGAGGAAAGTGACAACAACAGTGCTACACCGTTGTAGCTAAAGGTTAGCTCCAGTCGAGCTAACTGTAACCCAGGGAATTCCGTTATTCAATGACCCGTTAGCTTTAGCCGCTAGGTTACAAACATTTGGATTTGATGTGCGGTGATTTTTCACTTAAATGTAAAAATGGAAACGTATAAATGTGGCGAATTTCCTGGTTAACGTTGTCAACTTTCTTTTCAGCATCCATTCGACTCGACACAGTCCCCCGGTTGTTGTTGTTGTTCTGAGACTGATAGGCATTTAGTTCTAAATTAAGCTAAGCTATGCTAAGCGGGCTAACCTGGAGCTCGGCCCTCTCCACCTCCCAGTGCGCCCGCTCCATCTCGAACCGGGCCCACTCATGCTGGATGTAGTGCAGGATGCCGGGGATGGTGTACTGCTGCTGCGGCCGAGGCAGCTCGTCCGGTTGGTGTGGCACCATGACTCCTCCACCGCCACCTCCTCCTCCGCCACCGATCGGCGGATTAGCGCTGCTGTTGCTTCCCGGCTGCTGCTGCTGCGGCGGCGGAGGCTGTCGTGGAGCGCCCGCTCCGACCCCTCCTCCTCCGCCGGGGTGCTCATCCATGTTTTTTTTAATTTTTTTTTTTTTTTTTTTTTTTTTTTTTTTTTTTTTAGAAAAGTAGAAGGAAAGTCCCAGACAGCAGCGGTCCACTAAAGGATTCCCGTCCCCCCTGAAGCCCGTGTCTCCGCTCCGTGTCTGTATCGCAGGCTCCGCCGCGACGTGAGAGGCTGGCTGCCCCCGGAGGGCTGCGGTGAGAGCGGCTGGTTGCGGACGCGGTGTCGGTGTATGGGTCTAACCGGCCGCCATTACTGCTCTCTCTCTCTCCCTGGATCCGACGAGCGCGGGGGGGGGGGGGGGACCCGGCCGCGCTGCATGACGGGACACATCATCCTGATTTTTCCCTGTCATCCAAATACATTGTGTCTCATTCATCGTGCGGGGAAAAACGTAGGAAATCCCAATTTCTAATCCTGATTTCAAATCCCATGACTTGCTTATAAACACATACAGAGAGATATAAATACCTTCCCCAGTCTGGACAAACCATATTACACTATTACACCTCAGGGGTTTTTACCTGCCCACTGTGACCAGCGCAGGTGGTAGTGATAATGACCCTGGTTTGACAAAGACCAAATCAAACCAGTAGAAAACAAAAGAAACAGCAGAAGAACACACAAAGTAAAACCACACGGAAGCTACAAATGTAGATAATCATACATTTAAATAAATAAACAGAACTGCAAGCATCAGGCTGCAAGCCATCACACACAGTCCAAAATATCGAAGGGCTTTATAGGTGTAGGGCTTTAAGAGCTGTGAGAATCAGATCTTAATAATGCCACTTGGGAATAAACTGTAAATCCTCTATAAATAAATCCTTTTTACCTCAAATTTTAACAGTGCATTTCCCGTGTTATTTGTTTTTGTCTGTCTATGGCAAACAGTAATAACGTTAGGAAGAAAAAAAAAATCTGGGCTGAACACTTAAACTCTTATTTACTATTTGTTCTGGTATCCATAAACGCACCAGTTCAGGGCTCAACTGAGCATGCGTTAGAAATGCTAACAGCTCTTGTTAGCTTCCTATCGTTGGAAACGGAAACTTCCCTTTTGTTTCATTTTTATTTAACTTTAATTTGACTCATATTTGACTTTCAGGTTCTGAACCAGCGGGACGCCTCGATTAGATTAAATTAGAACAGATTATAACAATTTAGGCTATGACTGAAAGGAGCGAACAGCAGTTAGCCTGCGGTTGTTTTTAGCCTGAGTGATGGGGCTCATTTAGCCGCAGTTTAGAGACAAGCCGCCGGTAAGTCAAAGAAACGTTAATATCGTTAATAACTGACACAGGACACAGTTTAACGGTCATGTATCAGCATTAAACTACATTTAAAAAGACGTTATTAACGGTTGCACCACGGGTTACATGTGTGACGCCTTCAATAGCTCCTCGGACACCCCAAATAGAAGCCGTAAACGCAGCTTCTCAGTGTGATAAAGTTTAGTTTATTATGTGACAATTTGTCTTCAAATATCAAGTGTTATAAATATATAAAATCAAAAATCAAGGCTTCATTAAAAAACATGTCCCCATCCCGCTTTGTGAATATGTTTATATCGACCTTTAACAGTAAATGCATAAAAAACAGGAAATGTAAATGTAGGATTTAACAGACAGGTTTGCCCTTTGACCATCGTAGTATCAGTATCATAGGATATAAAAAAAATCTGATGAGATTATTATGGCTGCAACTAACAATTAGCATACTTTCATTTTTATTTAATCTTCTGATTATTTTCTTGTTATTAATGGATAAATTTGTTTATAACATGTCAGAAACAGTCAGTACTGCTCCTGATAATTTAAGGCAGAATAAAATCGTCTGGTTCCAGCTTCACTAATGTGGGAGTGTGATGCTTTTTTTGAGTCTTATAACAATAACAAACTAAAAATCTGGATTTTGGACTTTTAGTTGAATAAAAAGGAATCTGAGCTGTGGGAAACTAAAATGTGCTATTTTTTTACTATGTTCTTTAGAGGTTCACTATGATTAGGCGATTGAAAGAAAATTAATTTACACGTATTTTTTATAATTCATCACTTAAACATTTGAACATTTTCCTTTTTCAAACAAAAACTTCTATGTGGTTGCAGCTTCTCAAATATGAAGATTTGCCGTTTACCTTTCTCATATGTAAATGTACATTGAATATCTTTGACCTGTTAGTCGGACAAAACAAGCAGTTTGAAGACGTCACTGTGGCCTCAGAGAAACTGAATGATATTTTTTCATATTACATATATTATTGATTGATTAATCAAGAAAATGGTCAGCAGATTAGCAACTGATGAAAATAATTGGCAGTTGCAGCCATCGGTCGAGTCATAGACTAAACGTCCAAGGTGACTTCTTCAGATGTCCTGTTGACCAATGGTCCAAAACCCAAAGATCCAGCCCACTGTGGTTTTTACTCTGAGAAAAGCAGGAAGTCTTCATTTTACTGAGGCTGAAAACCTGAGGCTTTAAAGGCTACAATGAGCTAAAAACAGAGACAACAGCTTTGGAGAAAATAAAGAAAAACACCTGCGATGATTCTCATATTGTTTGTTTTGTCTGACAAACCTTTAAAAACCCGAAGCTTTCCAGTTAATAATTCTGTGTTTACCTGCGGCCTCTCGTCACAGGTGTCAGAAGACTCTAAATTCCAATTATATTTTCTCACTGAACACATCTTCAGTGTCAAAGAAGTTAAAGTGGCTGGTTTTCACAAAAAAAGCAAAGATTAGATCTTAACACTTGTCTTTAATCGATTATTAAAGTAGCTGCTGGTTCTTTATCCGTTGAAGGACCAACTGCTGAAGTGACGTTTCAGCTCTGAACTCCTGACAGCTCCGTCCCTCTGCTGTGTTTCAGGCCGGCGTCCGATCACAGGATGATCAAGTTCGTGCTGATGGTGAACCGGCAGGGCCAGACCAGACTGTCCAGGTATTACCAGCCTGTGGAGCTGAGCAGGAGAGCGGCGCTGGAGTCCGACGTGGTCCGCTGCTGCCTGAGCCGCAAGAAAGACCAGGTACCTGAAGTACACACGAGGTTTAGGTTTGAAACCGGTGTAAAAACAGCGCCGTGTTCCCTGAACTGCTCCCGTCTGTTTCCAGTGTTCGTTTGTGGAGTATAAAGACTTTAAACTGGTCTATCGTCAGTACGCCGCTCTGTACATCGTGGTCGGAGTCACAGACACAGAGGTGAGGCGTAGCTATAGAAACAACAATAAATAGATAATAAAGTTACATTGAAATAATTGATTAGAAACAATCAAACATATTGGAAACAACCCGAGACTCTAAAGATTTTTTAGCTGCAAATCTGAGATGTTTGATTTGAAATGTTCAGTGTGTGTTGTTGTGTGTTGGGTTCATTCATACACTGTGTGTGAGTCAGTGTGTGTGTCCTCCGGTCTCCCACAGAACGAGTTGTCCATCTACGAGCTGGTCCACAACTTTGTGGAGGTTCTGGATAAATACTTCAGCCGAGTGGTGAGTTCACTGCTGACACAACTGAACACGCCACCTGTCTGTACACACCTGTCTGCACACACCTGTCTGCACACACCTGTCTGCACACACCTGTCTGTGCGATGAGCAGATACACGCTGATCAATCAGAGATGAGTGTCTCATTTCCTTCATGAACTCTGACCTGGAACAAAGTGAGGTGGAGCTTTTTATAGACAGAATGACGGGATGAGTCATGGGGGGAGACGACGGGCCCCTGTGGGTCAGAGGCCCCGGGGCCTGTTGACTAATCCGTCCATGTGTCATTAGGGTTTAAATCAAAGTGTTTATATGTCTAGGTCAGTGGTTCCCAACCTGTGGGGCGGGGCCCACTGGTGGGCTACGAAGGTACTGCAAGTGGGTCGACAATTCATTTGATAAACAGAACAGAACAATTTTGGTGTAAAGATGTAAATAAAAAAATAAATATATAAATAATTAATGTTTTTAAATGTTTTAAATCAAACTGACATTTAAAATGTTTAAAAACTCCTTTTTTTCTCTCATATTAAAACAGTGATCAGTCAATGACAGGAGCTTCTGTGTTGGACCACATCTCCACTTGTTTGATCTCTCAGCCTGATTTAAGCTAAACGATCACATCGATGGATAAAACCAGAGACTCGGAAAGAAAACAGATTTATTCTCCTGTGTTGTTACGGGGTCGGATGTGAGCCGTCAACATTTTTGAGATGAAGTGGCCATGAGTTGGAAAAGTTTGGGAACCGCTGATTTAGATTAAAAAAAAAAAAACTCACACACACACAAATAACTACACACACCTGTGTGAACATCAGTCTGATAATCATCTGTGTGTTTGTTTCCCAACAGAGTGAACTGGACGTATCCTTGACTCTGATCTCATCACACCGATAACAAGTGTCAATATATTGATTATAGAAAAGGCTCAGTTCTCTACAGGAAGTGAACGAGTCGTGTTTAAGTCTCTCGATGTGTTTGTCAGTTCTTCACTGTGATGTTGTCGGAGATTTAACGAATAATCACTGAATGTTTTCTCATTTAAAAAACTTTATTTTACATATTTCATGTTTTATCAGTATTCTAGTTTTTACATTTTAACTCTTGCTTCTCAAACGGGACCGTGTTCTGTTTCTAATGATCACAAAGTGAATGTTTTGGAGTCTCATGACGACGTTTTATAGAAGCAATAATTCAAATAATCCTTAACTGTGAATTTAAAACATCTGTTCTGGAGCTCTTGAGCAAACTCCACCTTTCAGCAGACTTCTGCAGGCGCGTTTGTTTTTGTTTGGTTTCCTTGACTCGGCCTCGTCATCAGATCATGTTCAACCTGGACCGAGTTCACATCATCCTGGACGAGATGATCCAGAACGGACACATCGTGGAGACCAACAAGAGCCGAGTCCTCGCTCCGCTCACCGCCCTCGACAAGATGGCCGACGGCTGAGACCGCTTTTTGTCGTTCCCAGGAAATGATGTCACAGACTTTTCCTCACTCACATGAGCAGGTGGAGACCGAAGGACTGTAAACTGCTGGGAATCAAACCCGCAACCCTGTGATGACAGTCTGAATTTAAAAAGGTGCCGATGTTCTAATGCCAATAAATCAATCAATCACTAATATTTAATATCAGTCTACTGACCAGTGATTTACTGAATGTAACAAAAACATCTGGATCCATTTCATCTATAAACTTCTGTCTAATCTGTTTCATCTATTTCTATATTAAGGCTTCTCCTTATCTTAAGGAATCACTTAGTTCAGATCAAACTGAGGAGAAGAACTTCAGGTTCCTGTGATTGTATCTGAACCTCAACACGTCATGAAGAACCTGATGGACCCTCAACGACCAGGAATTGATTATGCTTTATAGAATTGATCGGTTTGATCAGTTTCTGATTTGTCCGTCTAGAGCTGATCACTCCTCGTTCCTCTGCAGTCAATGATGCTCTGTGGTTTGATGCTGCAGAGATAGAGGCTTCTTTAATGGCAGCAAATCAACGGTCTCCATGGAAACAGTAGTATTTTACTGCTGTAAAATCTCTTTCACTGCTGAAAATGCCTCAATTTTTCCCATAACTAAGGAAAACTTTGAAGAGATTTTGTGCAACACCCTTCAGTAACTCCCTCAGCTGAGGAGAAATTAAACCTGAAGTGTCAAACTTAAGGTGTTTTGTGCCTCTGGAGTTTAAAGAGCCACTCCACAGGATTTAACCAGTCGTGGTTAGTTCCCCTCAGCTTGATGATGATGATGATGACGATGATGACGAGAGTGTGGAGCTGGAAGGATGATGATGAAGGACTCCCTCCACAAACCACAGGACTCCATCTTTACTTCATACTTTGCAAACATTTTAATGATTATTTTTTTGGAGCATACACATTTGAAAATATCTGTTTACCTCAAACTGCAACTTGAGTTAAATAAATGTTTATAATATACAAAGAAAATACAAGGGAGAGCAGAGCTTCTTACGCTTTTTCTGTTTTCTCTTCGATGTGCCTCGCACTCGACCAGTGTTTCTGTCTCTATAGCTTCATTGTAAAAGAAAACACCAAATGCACTCTGACCTTTGACCTTTTACAGCCGGTCAGAAACAACCCGAAAACTGTCGCACACACACACGGAAACGAAAAGCAATAAAACAAAAAATAAAAACAAAAAGGAGGAGGAGGAGGAGGAGGAGGAGGAGGAGGGGACGGGGCATGATTGTGTGGAGGAGGAACCGAAAACTGAAGCTACGAGTCAAACCAGGCGCTAAACTGAGAACAGAGAGGAGGAGGGGGAGGGGGAGGAGGAGGAGGAGGGTCAACACGCACGCACACACGCACGCACACGCGCACACACACACACACACACACACACACACACACAGCAGCCAGCCTGCAGAAACCAGCAGCTGCTCAGGTGGGTGAGGAGGAGGAGGATGTCGCTGCTGATGAAGATGAAGGAGACAAGTGAAGGAGGTGTTAAGGGTGTGAGGAGGCAGCACAGCTTCTTTCATTTCCTCATCCTCCTCTTCATCCTCCTCCAGCGGTCAGTCGCTCGGCTGGTTTGGATTGGCTGGCTGATCTGTCAATCACGCGGCGGGTGGCGACAGACAGAAGACTAGAGGAGCATGCTCAGTGCGGTGGCGGCGGCGGTGGAGGAGCAGGAGGAGCAGGAGGAGGAGGTCAGTTGAGGTGGAAGCCTTTCTCCATGGTGGCAGCGAGGAGACGCTCCCTCATGATGTCCTCAGAGGAATATTCAGGAAGCTTCAGGTAGTGAACACACGTGTTGACTGATGGGTAACTGGAGTCTGTGGCGTCGACCTGAGGAGGAGGAAGCAACAGTCACATCTGGATCATCAGAGAAAACATTTATCTGAAGAACAGGAGGAAGAGAAGAAGAAGAGGAGGAGCAGCAGCTCACCTTCCTGACGATGGTGAGACGGGGGTGCAGGTTGGCCAGGCCACCGGGGGGCAGCGTGGAGCAGCCGGTGGTGAACTGAAGGAAGGCTTTCCTCTCGTCAGACGACATCCCACACAGAACTCTGACGAACCGCAGGAAGCCAGGACTGGAGGGGGGGGGGGGGGATTAGTGTTATCTACAGGTGGAAATGTGCAGCAGGTGAGTCCTCAGGTGTGTGATCGCCTACCTGTCTCTGGTGTAACCCAGCTTTGGTTCAGTGTAGTTGATGATGTCATCAGCAGTCCAGGAAGGTGATTGGTTGCCACAGAGGATCATCTGAACCTCCTTGTGGCTGAAGGAACTCAACTTCTCCATCGGAAAGACTCGGTTAAAACCCTCTGAGGAGGAGGAGAGGGGGGGGGGGGGGGGGGGGGGGGGGGGGAGGAGAGGGGGGGGCGGGGGAGAGGAGGAGGGGGAGGAAGGGGGGGCCTTGTCAGTTCATCTGATTTGCGACAAAAACAGCTGTGAAGTCATTACAGGTAGCTCAGTCGTTACTGTCATGTGACCGTGGTGTTACTGTCATGTGACCGTGGTGCAGCCATGTGCTGTGTGTTTACCTCTGAAGGCCTCCATCTGTTTCTGGATGCCAGTGTGCATACAGAAATCAAACATCAGCTCCACGTACTCCTCTGCATTCTCCATGGTAACCATCTGAACATCCACACATTAAAACACACACACACACACACACACAGAAAACTTTAGATGCAATTCCATTTCACGCTGAACTTTGTGCATCAGTTTTTCATAAACAGCAGAAAACCTGAGGTTCTGTGAACTGCATACGTTCGTTCATCCGCAGCAGCAGAGAACCCTCATCATGGTTTCACAAAGTTAATGAACATGTAAACAAAACAACATTTCCTGCTGCAGATCAGATGTTTGTTTTCACCTCATCGTCTCCGTTTGTTTTCAGATCCACTGCAGAGAAACCGTGAACCTTTGAGGACGGACAGAACTGGAAGTTTAACCTGCAGAGAGACACAACAGGAGGAGGTGAGACACAACTCCCACAATGCACCCTTCTTTCAACAACGCTGGTGTGTTCAATACCTGAAGTATGTTAAATCTCAATCAGTAATCAGTTTGGGTGTTTGACATGAGCCCAGCTAACTGAACCCGACTCACCTGTTGATAGTGTCTCACCTGAGCGGAGCCTTTTCTCAGAATAAAATTGCCTCATTATAAAATAAGTTTCTTTTTTGAAACTTTAAAACTTTTCGTCGTCACTTCCACAGATTCATGTTTTGTCTCGTCTGTTCTCAGTTTAAGCTTCAGCAGGTTCGACTCTTATCTTAAATTAAAAGTGTTGATATCAGACGTGTCACACTGGGATATACATACTTTTGTCTTGGCCTTTAAATGCATCATTCATGATACTCTGCAGAATCTCTCACATCGTTTATTAGATGTGATTAGATTTCATTTCCTAGCTGCACGTTTTATGTCACTGTTTTTACTTTATTAAATTTGTTTTATTTGGTGATTTTGTTGTTGTTCTACTTCCTGTTTATTTCAGACAGTTTTATTAGTGGGTTTTCATTTGCTGGCTCCAGTTTTTAAGTGATTTCATGTCATTGTTCCTCTGTAAAACACTTTGTAATATTATTGTGAAAGCTCTAGAAATAAAGTTTGTCATCATCATCTGTGCGTTTTACCCGAGGTCCTCGATGCTGAGGGGGGGTCCGGAGCCGAGCGGGTTCCTGAGCATCAGGTCCTGCAGCCTGGTGTTCTTCTCGTCCTCTGATAAACTCTTACTGGCCAGAATCTGCCTCCTCTTCACCGCCAGCTCCTTGACCTCCTTCAGGAAACTCGCTCTGCGGGGAACAGTCACGTGTCGGGTCACAAACATCTGATTACCAGTAAACATGTTTGTTTATCAGTCTGTGTTGTTTATGTTGTAATCATCATCATCGTTTGATGCACTTTGTTTTAAATACAGGACGCCACTGTTTGTACATCGTCTTGGTAAATTTAAAGAAAGAATTTAAGGAAAGGAAAATGCAAGGGAGGGAAGGAAGGGAAGGGAAGGACGGTTCATACCAGGAACCTTTGAGCAGAGCTGGAGCATGTGAGCTACATGGGAACACCGTCATACAGCTGTTGATGCATCATCACAGCTGTCTCACCTGTGCGGGTTGACCAGCTGGAAGTCGTCCCAGGTCAGGATGCCGTGGTACCAGGCTGGCGGTTTGGGTTTTGGTGGGTCCATGATGAACTCGGACTTGGAGTCCTCGTCGAAGCTGCCCACGGAGTAGGTCTCCTGGCTCTCCTCGGTGGACGCCTCCGACTGCACCTCAGACAGCAGCAGGAAGGGCTGCAGGTGGGGGCGCTCGGGGTCGTGGCCCTGCGGCGAGCTGCGGGACTGGTACAGCAGCTTGCTCATGTTGGACTTGATGTCCCCCATGCAGAGCAGCTTGAAGAAGGGCTGGGACACGGGCAGGTCCACCAGCCGGTTGTCCTGGATGCACTTGGCCAGGAAGACGCCCAGGAAGTGGAAGAGCTTGGTGATTCGCTCCAGCTCCTCGCTGTCCTGAGGGAACGGGGCCGGGAACAGGCCGCAGGAGCGCTGCACGTAGAAACCAGGAGGCTTCAGACCGCCGCCCAGGTCCACCTGCAACACAGGACCAGGATCAGTTCACTGTGGTGGTCCTGAATGATTGTGTGTGTTGCGTCTGAGACTGTGTGTGTGTCTGACCTGTCGTGACTCGTCGTCGGGGAAGTCGTCGTCACACAACCAGATGCCCAGAGACGTTCTCTGAAACTCTGCAGCCACCAGAGCGTAAAACTCCAGAGTCGGACCGAGACCTGTTCCCTCCTCACCCTGGAACTCCACCTGACACACACACACACACACACACACACACACACAGTTCATTCCTCCATTTTGTTTGTGAGCAGTAAAGACGGAGGAAACATTGCGTTGTGCGTCGACCTCTCACCTCCAGCACCGACTTCCTGTCGGCGTGGATCTGCATGACGGACTCCGCCCACTCCATCATGGCCTCTCCTCGGGGGACTTTGACTCGCTCGTGTTTGAGGCGACCCACCCTGAACTCTCCGGGGTCGTCCCGCCGCACCGTCGTGGACGGCCGAGAGCGCTCCATGGTCGCCTCCCGCCGGTTCTGCAGCCACACGATCGCCCTGCACACACACCGGAACAGAGGTCACTGAAG